TCATGTTTTCAGAAGAGTGCATATTATGCAGGGATCAAAATTTTCAACAGTCTACCATCTAATCTCTCAAGTCTTGTAAATAAAAAGGCACAATTTAAAACAGCATTGAAAAGATACTTAATTACACACTCCTTTTACTCTGTCGATGAATTCCTAATGTCTACAAGTAAGTCGTAATTTATCCTTTGTTTGTATTTTTGTGACATTTATATGACTTGTATTTGTATAACATGTATTGTATTATTATGACTTATTCTACATCCTATTGTCATCTGACTAACTTATGAATCCATGGAATGTAATAAAGATGTATGTATGTAAGTGGTAACAATTATTTAATACCATAAGCCATTCGTTTTAATTCTGCACAAACTTAAAATTCAACTTCGACGTAAGTCCACAATACATCCACAGACAAATAAAATTGCTGTGAATTATTTTATAGTCCAGCTCGGCGCAGACCCATGCAGTTTTTATAGACTTTTGACATAAATACCTGGACTTTTAGGTTATAAAATACTTCGTTATGATGTCCTGATAGAACCACAAGTTCTATTTTAGTACGCCTATTATGACAGATGGAACAGAAACTTACCTGTGATACTGTAGGCCGATTTACAAAAAGGATCCATCAGCATTCAAACACAGCAAATAGAACAGCTACGTCTCACTGCGATACTTTGGCTTCGTGTGGCGTACTTACGACGACTGAGGGGTGAGAGGTGAGGGCGGTAAGTCTCCACCGCCCACGTCAAACTAGTGACTAAACTATTCCACGTTCATAATTAAAACTTGTAGGTATTTTGATACATTAAGAACATTTTTAAATTACGTGCTAACACTGGATAAAATGACACAATTCATACAGTTAAAAGACAGAACTTTAACTAAGTAAAACTGAATTAATTTCGCCAGCAGTGGATTTGATCGTGTGTATGGTGGAGGACAGGTGACTGTGCTATGCATTTCGTCATTTAGCCTCTAGACTTCGATTTAGACATGTGGACGCTAATTGTACTATAAATACGAGAAAAACTTTGTTGGTGTTTATTAAATGTTATCAAAGCCTGCCTATATTATGGGATACGAACCATGTGGCGAAACTAAGAGTGAGGCAATTATGAAGTTCTCGATAAATTTAAGCAAGTGAAAAAAAAATGCTATGAGGGAGGCCGTGGTTCGAAAAATCAACACCATGCGCTCGGCAGCAGACAGTTGAACAGACAGACTCAAAACGAATAGGCCCCAAAAATACTACCAGCGTGCTAACGAGCCTACTGACGAGTCGATTAGAAGACATTAAGATCGCGTGATTTGTGTATCTACATGTCAAAACTAAGCAAGAAAACTGAAGTCAAAGTTTTATTAATACTTGTCCTTTGACAAATAATAGACGAGGGCTGGTTATATATACGAGGTGCGATCAGAAAGTTTCCAGACTGTGTCAATAGAGGGCGAACCGGATGTAGTACGAGCTTCTGCCGCTAGGGGGTGCGGCCTACATTCATAGTGAATCAGTGTGCCAGCCGGCATCATCGAATTAGCATTTGTTTCTTAGTTACGGGCGTTTTGGTAGTGCATTACACCGACCCTCCTGCGATTTCGGAATGGCGGGTGCATCAAATTTTGCCAAAGACTCGCCAAAACCGCTACGGAAACCTATGAAATGCTAAAGCAAACATTTGGGGAGTCCGCAAACTTTTGTGTGGCATTCACGTTTTAAAAATGGCCGAACCCCTGTCGATGATGACGAGCGTTCTGGACGACCATCTTCGAGCACAACGCCCGAAAAAGTTACGAAGAT